TACAACTGTTGTCCAGCGCCTCATCACCTTCCGTATCCAACAATTCCATTGTCATTTTACAGTCTTTCTTATACTGTAACAATAAAATGTTTCACATATATAGAATATCCTCTCTTTAATTTAATAAAAAGTAACATTTTTATTCATAATTTGTTTATATCCATAAAATAATACTACCAGCTGTAATTAAGAGATACAACATTAATGTACAGTTTGTATTTAAGAATTAAAGTAAATTATTAATTATACAGATTGAACAAAATATTTTCATATTTTTAATATTACAATAGAAAAATAGTGTAAAATAAATTGACACAGTAGTTTCCATTATTAGTATAAGTATAAACATGTCATTGGCAAAATAGTTCTATTGACAAAATGAAATTATTAGATACTTACAATGTATATTTTAAAACAATTTTCGTCAGCCATAGCTTTCTCTGCTTTACGTTGATAAGACATTTCTGCACCGAGTCTCATATATGCCGTAGCACATAAACCACCTGCACCACTATTTTCTTTTGGTTGGCGTTGCTCTCGCTGGAATAATTCCATACATTGCTGGCATATAGGATCTGAGACCAAATGCTGCAACTAAAATTTTAATATTTTTCATTTAAAATCTCATTCTAACTATAAAATCATATTAGTCATTTTAAAAGTTTTTAAATGTCGATATATATATATATATAATACTTACTTGTCTCACAGCGTACGTTACAACCTTATCTAACGTAAAAGCGATATATGCATGAATACCGAACATTTCTCGCAAGGTATCCTCGTAGGCGGTACTTTCCATATTACCGTCTAGGACATTTTTAACCATATCCAAAAATGCAGGATAATAGTCCTCGATTTCAATTTCATCTATATCAATCACATTAAAAATGTTACGTTACAGTGAAATATACTTTTCTATTTTTGTGTGTAAATAAAACGATGATTTATACTTACTTTTAGGCTTTAATCGTAATGCGACCGCTGTACTCTCCTTGCGTTGTTGTTTGTATCGTGATTCCTCTTCAGCAAGGGCCACAGCCCGATCATACATTTTCGTTAATCTTTCACATAAAATATGATGTAACCTTAAAAAAAGGTACCAATTGTTGCTGCCCATGAAGAGCGTATACGCTTCCTCGGGATCATTCGACATGGCATGGATTGGTACTTTGATATCAGGTTCGGTTTTAATCGATGTGGAAGACGGAATCGGAGATACCGGCGCCTTATTCCTATTCGCTTGGAGGCCACCGCCCAACGGAGAGGTATTCATCGTTACTGACTGAGAATTACTACACGCTGCTACATTAAGATCTTCCTTTTCATCTAAAACCGCAATATAAATCCCATGAAATACATTTTTTTAACTATTGCTACCGACACATATTTATTGAATTCGGTGCGTTACCATCTTCGTCTCTTTCGTCATCACTCAATTCCTGGCGTGGATGGAAGAAAAGATCAGGTATAAAATGCTTCAACAAAAGCTTTATTCGTTGCTTGTCTTCCTTGTGGATGGCCGTTTGACGTTTTACATGATGAATAAGAAGGTTAGCTGCATCATCTAGGACAGATTTGTCTTTATAAGGTAATACAAGGTGCGGGCCACTATTATTTTGACCGTCCCCATTGCCATCGTCTACTTGCTCGTGTCTCTGTAAAACAAATTGTTCTTAAATAATGAGAAATGGGTAATTGCCTAGAGGAAAAACAGAGTTACAAACCTCATCGTATAACGTTTCAATCTCATTAAATAGGCTTTTGGATCTTAGGGCCTTCACATCGTTCTGCTTGAAATTGATACCTTGATGATCCAAGGATTTCAAATAGTACTTTTCATTCTGTTCCCTCCAAATTTTGTTGAAACCTTTTTGTGCCTCCCGCCATTCCTCTTCTTTGCTCTTTAGTCGACGAAGAACCACGGGTACCGCCACAACAGGATTTTTCTTAAGACCGTCTATAATATCAGCAGCCTTATCGCCATATATCCTTTTCAAGGCCCTCTGATGAATTGTAGGTGAACAACCACCGAGACAATCGTCGAGCTTAAATTTTTGAAGTTCTTCTTGGCTCATTCTACTCATTTTCTTATGGACACCCTCAAGAACTCTGATCGTTGACGCGTTAGTTTCTATTACACCATCCAACTCAAATCGTTCATCCTCGCACCGATAAATGAATTCTTCATACTGTGTTTTCCTGAACATTCCAATCCAACATAAAATTTGCCAATCATTCAACAATAAATATTAAATGCAGATAATTTAAGAAATACAAACCTAGATGTTACGAATGTACTATCTTCGGACCAAGTCGGGAAGGAAACCCATGTATCATTAAGAACTTCTTTACACAACTGCGTTCTTCCTGTACACTTTGGTTGAACGTAGGACTTTGGTAACGCGCAGTATGATGCCCCTAGACGTTTACATGCTGTGTAATCAATTTCCATCGCTAGATCGCCTTGCGGTCTGTCTTGATGACTTCGTACGACATTATTTGGTAGCGCTTCAATATTTAAATTGCTACTCGTATTTGTTGTGTTGGTGTTAGAAGATTCAGGTAGATGGCCCAAAAAGTCTTTAAACCACCGCAAAAGTTCAGGAAAGCGACCGAGAAATGGCGTTACTAATTGCACCAATTCAGATTTCGAAACAATTTCTTGATTGAACAAAACCAAACATCTGAGAAAATTTTCGTATACTTCTTGCGACCTCAACGCTTTACGAACCTAAAAATATAATAGTATATTTTTATTATTATGCATCTAGTTTATTTTTTCTATAAAATATTGTATGAAATAAGAATTGAAAATACTAACTTTATCGAAGAAAGCATAATCATTCAGACTACCGTATTTTCCAGCTTCTGCTATGGTAACACATTCACGCATAGATGACACTTTATGCTTTTTTAAAGGTGGTGGTCCATGTTGTATATGATGTGAGTTTCCGGCTGTTACTGAAGGCGAAAACGATGGACTTCTTTTCAATTGTCCCGTATTGTGACCAAATTTCTGTACATTATTAATATCACGTATACCAGATCTATCTCGTTCTCGTTCACGATCTCTATGATCGCGACTTTCACGTTCTATTGTACTAGTACCGCTTGACTCTCGAAGATCTCTCGAAATATTTCCCGAATTATTATAAGGTGCTTTAGGTCCCAATGGTTTTTTAACGATTGTTGTATGGTCATTAACTGTAGCAGTCTTGTTACTCTGAAACATTATGAACAAAAAATGATCAGAATATACTTTAAATTATTTTTTATATTAATTTTAACAATACACAACTTACCAACGAACTCTGTTGATTAGTTGCATCTGGCAAAAACTGTCCGAACTCAGCGAGCAAATCTTCTTGATTTTCAAATAACTTAGCAACTTGACTGTATACTTCTGCTTCTGTTAAATGTTTTGCACCACCAGATGCACCAGATCCACTTGTGCCGCCCATGTGCCCTGATTCTTTTAAATTTCGTTGTTCTTTCTGATAAGTATGCAGAATTTCTAAAAATCTTTTATATTTATCTGGTTGACCTTGGAATCGATTCTACAATTGTAAAAAATGATATGAGTATATCTAACTTTGTATAATACTTTTTAATTGAATACAAACCTTAATTTTATTAACGTAATTAATCGCATGATTAAACTCAACTGGTTGACTTTGTTGAGTTTGCCCACTGGTTGGCATGCCATCTTGGGCTTGACTTAACGCTTGACTCACAGCCTGTGCTTGAGCTGCACTAACATGTGAATTATTATATGCTTGTACTGGTGGTGGTGAAGGTGCATGTACTGTTAAACTATTATTGGAAATATTATTTGCCAGTGAATGGTGTATGTTCCCAGACCTAATTTAAAATAACAAGTAAGATATGAATTATTAGTTTATTTTATAAAAATACTAAAACATAATATATATATATACATATATATGATACTAGCGACGATCTACCCTTACATTATTTGTAAAACTGGAGGAGCTTTTGCTGGTTGTGTTGGTGGACTTGCAACAGGAGGCGAACCAACATTTACAGTGCAATGATGTTGTGACAAAGTAGCAGTATGCGTTGCTGTTGGGCTTGGCATACTAACTGACACTTGAAATGCATATCCCTGCTCATTTGCCTGCACTTCTATTTTATACCCGGGTGGAAGAAAGGTATTGAATCCAACAATAAGTTCAGGATGGCCTTTAAATAAGTGGCTCACTCTCGTTATTACTCCTGGTGTATCTATGCTTTGCGATTTAAATTCTTTCATAATGTCCAAGAAATCATTATACACCTAAAATTAAACATGCATTATGATTACTGTAAATTTATTTTGCTAAATAATTTCAAGGACAATGACCCTGACAACATATTTACCTGAGGCTGATCACTGAATTTGTACTTTACTTGATCCAAATAAGACAATGCATCCTCAACCTTTAATCTCTGAAATTGTTGAGACCCACTGCCGCCACCTAGGCTAGTGCCTGGTGGGGTAGAAGCTAATGGTGTTACATTACCAGAATGAACCTATAAGAAGCACGATAAAAATTTTATGCTGAATCCCTTTTTAACGATTAAAGATTTTTAACAAGAATTTCTATTTTCAATGTATTATCCAAAGTACCAGCTTTGTGGTCATACCTTTACATAATTATAAAGGAATTATATACTATTTTCACTCATTTTCAATATCTGCAATTTGTTATAGTTTATATACACTATGGAATATGAACCTTATGCCTTATCGTTGGTTGCTGTTGGCTATGAACTTGACTTTGCGTTCCTGGTGTAGGCTGTTGAGAACCCATACTATGGTTACTCCCACCACCTATTCCACCATGTAACCCTCCACCAGTATTTACATTGCTACTGCCACATGTAGAAGTAAGTCCTGCAGATCCACTTCCCTGCAAATACAATTGATAACAATTGCACAATCTGCCAACCTAATCTTTAAAGACTTGATTGTATTCCTGTATGGTATATGTAAATTCAAAATACAACAAATTACACAATTAAGAAGGAAAGTACATATATATAGATATAATTTTGTTATTGTTCTAACTAAAAGATTTTGTTAATAATACAATACATAAGAATTGTTTACATATATTTTTGGCGAAGAAGGATCCAATAAAATATCTTATTGTAATAAATACACTAAACAAAAATAAAACGATATTATTAAATAATAAGAGTATCGACATAGATTTATTTTACAAACAAAGAAATTTCATAACAACATAGGTATTACATGATAAAGGTTCAAATTTATTAACGGGACAATTATAAAAACGTAATAGATGAGCTATTACGTTTAATTCGATAGATTGTTTTTAAGCGGATCAATTTCATTCATTCTCACGTCACTTTTTTATGTCGTGTCTAATTATAATACACGATAAATCATTATGAAAACAAACTTTACAAGAAGAAGATAGCAAAATATATCATAATATTTTAAGAAAGGGAAAAGTAGTTTTATACTGTAAAAAAAGAAAAAAAATATATTTATTTGATAAATATTATGAAAAATGGAAAACATTGTAGTTGTTTTCCTAGTTGTTACCGTTGTTATTATAATGTAGATAAAACGCACCTTAATGGGGGACGGGGCCGCGGTCGGCACTACAATTGCTCCAGTATATTGCTGTTGAGCTTGGGCAGTTCCAAATTGTATGCTTCCCGGCATTTCTTTCGAAGCAACTGATCGAACTGCTTGGCCAGGTACAACAACGCCTATTCCACTGCTTGAATGGTACTCCAAACCACCTCCTCCGCCACCTAAGCCACTTCCTGCACTCACTGACGAGTGCTTTAATGTTGCTGCTGCTGGTGATGCTACCTCGTCCAGCCCGCGAACACGTTTCATCGCAGATCACATTGGAAATGCTACAAATCGAGAAACATTGTTGTTTAAAAGCATTCTATTATCACCTGGATATTAGTCGTGTGTTGTTTAAAGTTAAATCTGAGCAGTCATCGTATTTGCATTAAAACTGTCATAAAACGCGGCGCAGCAACTGTTTCGCGGGTATGGTGCGTTTAGCGCGCCACGAACAGACGGCAAAGGTGTAGTAGACTTCGAAAGTGTTCGGTGGTGGTATTGTTTCGTTTAAGGTGATAAAATGACGTGATCGGCGATGCATCCGCACTACGCTAGCTAACATCGTACATAAATACGTCGATGCAGCGTAGAAAAAGCATTCGATAAATTCGACGCTTCCTTTCTAGATCGATTTCAATTTACGCCGCAGTGTACGGAATTTTGAAAGCACCGCGCTCGATCACCGTGTGACAGAACTTACGAACAATCTAAAACAGCGTGAGCACTTTCCCGTAAGTTCGAACAGCACAAAACTTTTTTGTCGTAAAATACAGTAAAACGTCACAAAATTTGATAAAAAGTTGCACATTTTTTATTATTTCAGTGAACGAGACAGTTTGGAATAATAAATTACGAAAATTTTACTGGTATTTATGTTGATATTAAACACGTTGTCTCGATATGTTAGAGATTATTTTTGTACATCGATATACACAATGACTTGTTAAAAATACATTATTCAATTCTCTAATTGAATTTTGAATAATTCGAAACGATTTTAACTTCACTTTCGGAGTCGATTTACAGTTAAAAATAATTGAATTACTCATACTCACAACTGTTATATATATTGCATAATATTAAATAATTAAAACGCACGTGGTTATATTTCCATTATATTATGATTTATGATAATATATAGAAAATAAATCATATGTTTAATATAAACGTTTTCTCTAAAAAATCAACTTTAACACACATTTAGGTAATATAACCTCACATAAAAAGGGCAATAAATCATTTAGAATTAATTCTCTGCATCAATTTGTGAAGACAGAAATTCTTTTTTCTGTAGAGTGACATCCATTATTATTATTAACAATTGTACTTTCAAATTATTTTATTTGTTGGTTTTGCATTATTATTATATATTAATTACATTATCATTGTACATTTTGAACCTTCTATATACTGTCATGTTCATTGTATTGTATTTTATTCTTCACAATCGATACTTTGGTTTTTGTAAAAATTTGATAAGCAAGAGTATCTAACAAGGAGAGATAAAATATTTGAAGAATATGTTTCATGAAAAATAAAGGATAATTTTTAATATATTACCTGTGCAGTATTTGACTTTACTTATACATACATAATCAAAAAAATATTCCTGTATGATTACTCATAATTATGCAGAGATATTTCTCATTGTTACTATATGTTATTCGGATATATGAGCATATCAATTAGTTTCTACATGAACAAGTAAATGTAACTACAAAGAATATATGTTCTATTTTGTATGTGAAGTAGTAATAGCGCAACTGCGATCCTTTATTCATTATTTTACATTCATTCTTCGCTGCTAAGGGAGATATCTCTTTTTAGAATCTCTTCTTCTCTAGAGTAGAAACGAGGAAAGAAGCGTACCAATGAAGAAATAATGAAGAAAATTTTAATACACTTATTTTGACCACTGTAATATGTTAGAAAATATGTTATTGTAAATCCATTGTATAGAATTAAAGGCAAAAGTGTAATAGTAGTTTAAACCAAATGATGTCAAGTTACACAATGGGCTCTAAATTGTATGATTTGAAGAAAGTTGCATTGAAACTCAAAAGTGTGTTATAAAAATAATTATAACCTAGTGCTTCTATAGGACACAATCTACATCCACATAGTAGTTTATAATGACCTTGCATGGGTATTGAAATGTCAGTGACTTAGAAGATGGTAAAAATTTCGTGAAAATATCGAAGACATACTTACCAATTTCCATTTGAAAAGAAGTTGAACGTCCTTGCACCAGAGAATTTCGAGAGAAGTTATCCAGAAGCAAGTGGTCGAAGTTGAAATGAAGTTGATTGCAAGGAAAGTTTGTGCTGTTCCACGAGGAGATACGAGCGTCGGTGGAGTTTCTTCGTTCGGAAAATTTCGATCGCGGTATCGGCCTCGCGAGGGGAATTTCGCTGGGACAGAGGAGACGAAATAGAGCCGGTAAAGCCAGCTGCACGGACGCGTACAGGCCGTACTGCGAAGTCGTCGAAGCGAGGTTTGTCAGTGTTGCACGTTTCCAAACACTTCCCGGCCCTCGACGTTACGCAATATTCCACGTAAATACATAACACATTTTCCCGAGAGCTCCAGTGAAAATATTCGTCCTGCGGTGCTCCTTTTACAAAGGAGTCACCTCGAGTTTCCGTACGCGCACTTAGGTACACTGCTTTTCGTCGTATCGGTCTTTTCCAGTCGTCCAACTGACTTTCCGCACAAAAGCTTCGGCTCCGTTGTTTTTTCACGACCAAAAAATCGACAAAGCCTTAACGGGCCGGTCGGTCTGGTCTCAGACAGGAATTCACTATGCTTTCTCGGATCTCCCTCTCAAAACCATCGAAATCTTGTTGTGTGAGTGAACAAACTCAGTAAAATGCACATTTTCGCGAGTACTTTGATGAATTACCGCACTTTTTAAAAAAAAAGGCAAATGCAAAAGACATACTCGCACTCTCTCGAGGTACAAGGCAAACTATTGGATTTTGTATGGCAAACAAGGAACTGACTGGTCGTATAGCGGGATGAGGAAGGTGGAGGGGATCGCGCAGGACCGTATTCATCCACTAAGCGTCTCTGTTACCAACCACTCGGGTACCTCCTGCAAAGCGTACGTGCCGCAGGCCTCACGAGACTTCTCTTCGAACTTTCATTAATTGTGCATCGATTATTCTTCGCCACTTTTTCCACTGCTTCTACGACAAAGATATTCCACGCACTTCTAACTACCTTAACATGTCCGGAATCACATGGAATGTAATTGCTACGAAAAATCGTCTTTGAACGTAATTTACAATGACAATTACAATCATAAATTTGTCAAAATTGTATTTTTCTACAGTTATAGTTTGACCACGCTTTCTAGTCCTCCGTCCACTGACAGTTTAAGTTTCATAGAATTTTAGCCAATACAAATACTTCGAATATCAGTTTTTGTTTGTACTTTTATATCTGTTACATTGCTGACATATTTTTAAGAAAATATTGTCGTAATAAATGGAGTGTATTACGCGTAGTAAGTTAATTATTTAAGATATAAAGTGTTTCTTACAAAACAGCTAATATCTATAGATATAAATACATTGAAAAAAGAGCACACGAATACTCTCGAACAACATACCGCCAAAGTTTCATTCGAGCACTTCTTCACAATATGAACTTCTTGTAAGTCACATTAATAGTTACCGAAACGTTAACAACAATAGAACTTCACACTTTGAAACTTCTGTTCATTCGAATACTATTGTGATCTTTAAAGCATATGGAATTTTAATTACGCCATGCAAGACGGCGATTTAACACAAACTCTGACGGGATACGCATAACTTTTTATAAACTAGGATAACAGCGCGAGGCATTTTATGCGAATGGTATAGTACGTAAAAAAAACATAGCAGCCAGATAGCATGATATATACAAAATGTGTACACTATTTTGAACAAAGTGTTTCCATAATAATTTCATTCCTTTGGTTTCCGGTTAATATACTTTCATTATGTAAGATTGGCTATCGTTATAAATTACACACGAAAGTTTGAATGAGACTTCTTCAGAAAAAGATGCATCGCGTCCCGATGAAATTGAAGAATTGCAAGGTGCCTAATATGTCGTGAGTAGATACAGCCCTGAAAATTGTGGCGGCGAAGCCGCCAAGAGGCGCGCGCAGTCCACGAAATATCCAAGCGTTTCCCCGCGGCCGACATCTTCGCGCGGCCAACAGCTGTTCCGAAAGGCGAGCGAACTCCCCATCGTAATCTGGGTCATGGAAACTGCGCAAAATGGGTTGCACTTGCACCGAAATCGCGCATTTCTTCAAAAACCGGTGAATCGGCTCGAGAATTTCGTCTAATCCAATAGGCTGAACTAGCACGCGATACGTTATTATCCACACTATAAAATGCCATTCGAAATATGCAAGCTCCTACGACCAGCCGTTGCATATCTGTCAACGTGCTTGACTGGTTCCCGACGAGAGAGCCGTCCGGCGATTGGCCGACGATTTTCGGACATCGACCTACGCGCGAGCCTCGAAACGTGCTAATCACAGAAAGCATGTAAACGATATTTTGCCAAATATACACTACGGGCACGTGAAAAATCACGCTCTATCTTTTATTCAGATTCAGTCCCGCAAAATGTCTTTCTATCGAACCATTCGATATTGTTTAACGCGTCAGAAGCTGGGCACAGCCGCCCATTCGTTGCGCACATAAAACGTAATCAGAAACTATTGAATACATATACCACGTGATTCATTTGGTACTTCTTTAACCTTTATTATTTGTAGATTTGTTAGTTCTTTTCAGAATTTTATTATTATGGTCATGCACGTGCAACAATCGATGCACGTGTGCTTAAAATTAAATTGATGCTCGAGTAAGATTGAATGTGAATTTTTCTTTATTTTAGTATACAATTTGCATTCTGTAACATATCTTAGCACATGGAATCGATTAAGCAAGAGTTTCTCTGTAAAATCTGTTTTTCTATTAAATTATTTTAAAATTATAATTTCTATCGTTTATTGTATTATTAAGTTATATAATAATTTTTTGCACTTTTTGCATCAATCAGGTTTTCTATTAATCGTATAATTATATTATATCAAAGAAAATTAACACACACTTATTTTTAATTTTAACAATTGTATATTCGAATAAATTAAAAAATCTGTTTTAAATATAATTAATATTCTATGTATCAATATAATAGGTTCCTTAACAGTCCATATGAAATGCAGCAAAGTGATGTAAAATGAAGATAAGGAAGAAAGAAAACATTGAATACTAAAAATTATATATTATGTGCTTTAATAAGTCAACATTTAGAATGTTTAAAAAAGTAGTTGTTGGTATATCTGGTGGGGTTGATAGTGCTGTAGCAGCATTACTCCTAAAAAATAAAGGTAAATTGAAAGAATAAAATGATCTAATATCATAATATTAGAAAATTAATTTATACAAATATATTAAAATTAGAATTATAAAAGGATTTAATGTTACTGGAGTATTCATGAGAAATTGGGATATTAGAGATGAAACAGGGAAATGTCAAGCTGATGAAGATTATGAGGATGCCAAATGGGTATGCAATCGAATAAAAATCCCCCTTGTTGAAGTCAATTTTATAAAAGAATTTTGGAATAATGTATTTTGGTATGTATACTTACACATTCTTTTTCAAATTAATATTTTATTTTTACTTATTTCTTACAGCTACATAACAGAACAGTGTGAGAATGGATATACACCAAATCCTGATGTTATGTGTAACAAGTTTATTAAATTTGAGAAATTTTTTAATTTTGCACGTAATGAACTACAGGCAGATGCTATTGCAACTGGTCACTATGCTAAGACTAGTTTTGGTACTCATCTTGAGCATTTTAAACCAGATACGAGTAAATATAATATCATGTGTAAAATAAAATTATGAATAATAATTGAGCAATTATTAATTAAAATCAATTACTTTAAACATTTAATTAGATGTCAAAATGCTTCAAGCACAAGATCCAGGAAAAGATCAAACATTTTTCTTATGTCATGTACCTCAGCAAGCATTAAGGTATTCCATGTTTCCTCTTGGAGACTATTTGAAAAGTAACGTTAAACAAATTGCTCAAGAAGCTGGACTGGATGTAGTTCTTCGTAAAAGAGAAAGCACAGGAATATGCTTTGTGGGGAAACGAAATTTTCAAAATTTTATTTCCATGGTATAGTAGAATAAATTCAATAAACTATAATCTTAATTTAATATTAACTAAATAATATTTACAGTATTTACCTGACAAACCTGGAGATTTTATAGATCTGGATAATGGACAAATAGTAGGGAAACATATGGGCTTGCATTATTGGACTATAGGTCAAAATATAAGATATGCATGCAAACCATTTCCATATTTTGTATATAGAAAGGACATTGAGACAAATAATATAATTGTAGTATGTAGAAGAATTGTTGAAAATATACTCAGTTTCTCATTATTTCAGTTAAGTGTTTATATATTTGTTAATGTTAATAGGTAAGAGGAACAAATAACCCAGCGCTGTATTCAGATTTTTTAATAACAAAATCTCCTTTCTGGATATCAGCGGAACCAAGTGAACTTAATAGCTTCTGTAGAATATTAAATTGCAATTTTCGCTTTCAACATAGATATCCTCTGGTGTCTTGTACAGTTCACAAAAGTCTAAAAAATGAATTATTGATTGAACTTAGTAAACCTATGAGAGCACTTTCAGAAGGACAGGTACTCCTTGTTTTTCAAATTGTCATATAATAATATTTAATAATATTTAATGTTTATTATGTTTATTTTAGTTTTCTGTCTTATATAAAGGAGAAGAGTGTTTAGGTGCCAGTGTAATTTCATACCATGGTCCATCGTCCTTTAATTTGAAAGAAAAGGTGGAAATGGAAGATTATCGAGTAAACGACATAAAAAATGAAAATGCAAACGCGAGTATGTAATACTCTGTGATACTATCCAGTGATATATTACATATTGTAAACTATTGAAAAAGAAGTAAACTATGTTTCAATATTTTAATACAGTTTTTTTTGGTTCAATATTCCTATTTTAGTAATTTTACATATTAACATTTTTAGTTATATATTTGAATTAAAATAGTATCATATGAAATCTCTGGAATTAATTTTTTTATATTAATCATTGATTTATCTTGATCTCTTTACCTTAGATTTGAAAAAAAAATGTAATAAAATCATTTCTATGCAACGTGGACTAATACCTATGAAACAAAAAGCGATCGTTCAACTTGAAATTAGAAGTAAAAGAAATGTTTCTAACTTCTATCGAATCTTTGGTTAATCCATTTGTTGGTTATTGAAAAAATTAAATATCAATTTATCGAGTGAACTACAGACTTTAACAGTCGTAACTTATCTTTGAAACATTATACGTCCATTAAAGTGTACAGACAACGACAATGATGACCGCTGAAGAAAACGAAATTTATGGTTGTAATATAGTATATTGGAATTTCTTGTCAAGCCACGAAGATTGTATTAACAAGCGAAAACCGCAAATTTATAGTAAGTTAATTTATAAATTCAGAGCGAGAAAATGTCTCTATAATCTTAAGTTCCATAAAACGATGGCTGTGATCACCTTTTCATGTAATACATCGAATACTTCCTGGATCATAGACAAAAATTACAACCGGACAAACGCAAGGAAGATGAAACAACAACAAAGGAATTGAACAAACATTTTACAATTTGCACAAATATTTTAATACTTCCAGCAAAATACGCGCAAATCTGTGCTAATTAAAAACAAAGATTCTTCACTTACGATCTACCGTAGTAAAACGAATAGGGATATGTCGATTATCTTGATGGAAAAGGAGCTGAAAACGTGTTGCATATGGTAACGATAATTGGCACGGTGCGTAACGGAGGAAAAATCGGAACTATTGTGGCAATGATTGCACCGTTCGCCTTTTGAAGTTCCTACGTTCATCTTAAAACGGCAATCAGTGTTGGCGATGAGAAAAGACTTAATAACGGCTGGGTCACGTGTAGAATGTAAAACAGCGCGACGCGTTATTGAACGATAACTGCAAGTTATTAGGGTCGATTGACGAGTAACTGGATGTAAGGAGCGCGTAAAATGCCTCTCGCGGTGTGCGTGCACGTACAGAGCTCCGCCTCGATTGTTGTTGCCATCGCCATTGGCGTTGACCGCCGACGTTACATATGGAAATTACTCCCGTACAAATGTCGCTAGGACTAATTTGACCGTACGCGCAATGTTACATTAACATTCGTGTCGAGATCGGAGCCGCACAATAGCTTCAGTCGGTTCCCTTCCTCAACGGGCGCACGGTGTCACCATTCCGAAAACGGTGCTCCTGACTCCGATCGAAACTTGGAAGATTTGCAACATCAGCCAGTCCTTAATCTCGATCGATACGCTGGTGCTCCAATACGATCTCGACTCGAGTGTCCTTCCTTCGACTCGATAAAGTAGAAATGTAAAGTCGTGGGAACGTTCAGGGGCACGCCATCGGCAGTGAGTTAGCAGCGAGTAGATTCGATCTTGCCCGTGATACGAGCGATACGCGAGTGCGATTTGTGACTGCGCAATGTGTTACGATGAAGTAGAATAGGCAGAAAGACCAGACTGAGAAGAAGGGGTCGACTTGCTTTCAGACAAGATGAGGAGCGCGAGTAGTTTGGATCAGTACAACGACGACGACTTCTTCAGCGGTGGCCCCTGTCCTTCTTGTCGATTAGCCATTAACAAGGAGACTGGTCGACTCAAGTTCGTAAGATGTCCAAAATAGCTAGTGATCGTCAAAAATCGACGAAGTAGATAGAAACGGGGACTGGAAATCTTGTTTGGAACTGCAGGTGGTGTATGGGCGGAAACGATACCTGGCGTTTCCGAGTAAAACTGATGCTCCTGATTCCCGCCGTGTTACTGCCGATCACTATAATCTTCATCGCCCTGTCGCGCTCGCAGGTGATCGGCAAGGCTCCTTATCATCGCACGTACTTGGTCCACGCGACCAAGAGGCAGGACGAGAGGACCGAGGAGACTTTTCCGCGTAAGTCTATTGCCAGAGTATACATAACGACAGGCTCGTAAAATGAACTTGATATTAACAACGTCCGGTTCTTTGGCTGCTCGTGCAGATTTCAATAGCGAAATAAAATGCGAGGCGCGTGGCGTGATTTATCGAGTGTTGTCAGAGAAAAAAAAGAAAAATAATTTAAATAACTTTCACGTCGGCAGCTGGTACAGTTGAGATTATTCCCCTTAATGGAACTTCTTAATGTAACTCATTCCAAGGCTACGACTCTATTGCAGGAAGAATATTCAAATTTAATCGTTTTCCTGTCTCGCCATTTCGGATATCTTAAATGATCTGTTCTAAAATTTCAAAGGTATATTGATAATTAGCCTGTCACGGTAGACGGTGCTCTGTGTATTTATAGGTCACGGACAGGGAGGCGATTAAACCTCGTTACAAATGCCACGATTTTATATGTAAGGAAAAAAAGTTATTTCGGGTAGAAGTAGAAAGTAAGGTAGAAGAAAGAGGAAGTATATTATTCGTAGAAATTGTTAGCAGCGACCAGCCGCAGCGAGACAGAGCGGACCGGTGAAGAGGAGGAAGAAGACAGAATCCTAGTACCTGGAATGAAAACTAGCTACGTACCAGTGGAAACTCTACTTTCGCCACGACAGCTGCAACGACACAAGAGAGACCTGGACGGGGTACTTTATCCAAAACAAGCAAATTCAAAGCGATTCCACAATAGGGCGCGCTCTAGCTAACCGATACCGTCTCTTCTTTCTCTGCTTCTTGCTCCTTCTTCACCATCTTCTCCATTTTCTCCTCTCAAAAAAACGAAAAGAAAAAGATAGAAATAAAAAGACACGTCCGTCCGCCTTCTCGAGTCTACGATCGTTAGCTTCGAACGAGCATCACAGTGGCCCGTCAATAGCGGCGAAAAGCAATACCGAAGAGAGAACGAACGATCGTTTTCAGGATAGTCGAGGATCCTCCTCGTCTGACACATCGAACGCCGCGTCCTCCAGGATTTTATATTCGAATCTACGCGATACAAGGATAGCAGATTGGCGAACGGGGAACGATCTGCTCAGATCTGGTGTCGAGAACGAGAATCGCGAGGGGTTGTCGCTGGACGAGCGAGAACGAACACGTGTGAGCGATGATCTGAGTCTTCTTAAGAGATAACGATGAATTTTTCTTATTTCACCCATTTCAGGCGGGCGGATTCGAGATGTTCGATCCCTTGCGATCTTGAGAACGTAAACGGTTTCTTTTCTAATCGCGTTAGAGGTGCAGGATATATTAACGCACGAAGTGGAAGAAGACTGCAAGGGGTTGACGTCTCTTTACTACGGAACGCCATTATGGCCGTAGTAAAATGTTTCGAATGAGGATTGGTAGTCAGACGATATTTAGAGTATGTCGACATTTTTTGAAGCTTCTCGAGCAATTGATAAGGGTGTTTTCGACGAGAATTTGAGCAAACACGTTTGAAAAGGAAACGAGACACTTCGGATAACGAGTGCCGTGCGCAGTGACGTTAATTAGAGTTAATCAACATTAAATTAGTGTTACTGGTGTACTGTATAAATATCGATCGCCTCACTGCCAATCGTCTCGTTTCGTGCAAGGTCAATTAAATTTGACATGTCTTTTTTTCTATGACCGAGAGAACTCCGAAATAAAAAGACACGATACCTATCAAAATACGCAAATATCGATTGACCTTTCAACCGCTTGAACGTCACTCGATTTTTCATCTTAAAAGTATCGTAAAAATGTCGTTTTTATTTACGAATATCCACTGCAGGATCAGTCAGCGGACTACGACGCTGAGAAAATAGATGATCAAAATTTCGACCCCGACTTGAACAACTTTCTGGACGATTATTATCCCGAAGTGGACGCCGATGAGGTCAAAGAAAACTCCGAGATACAAAACAACGACTATCGAGAGTAATTATCCATCGTTTCCAATTAGATCGTCGAGACTTTACTATTTCTTTGAAATCCGTAATAGTTTCAATGAAAAGAGATCAAAGATTTGCAAATTTCTTCAGAAATTTCCTTTCTCAGATACAGCGAACACACGCAAGACACACGGAGGAACGAAGAATTGCGCCCCAAGTTCTTCAAGTACGACAATATCCAGGAACGTTCTCAGGACGAGTCAGACGAAGGCGAACAAGGCGGTAGACACTCGATTTCCGTCGACGATTCGGACACCAGTTTGCCGATCGCCGACGACCAAGGAGACGAAGACACCGGTACGGACTTCCACGCGTTTTGGAAAGGCGAAGGGAACGCGTGGGCCATCAGAGAGGCTCAAGGTACACTTGTGATGCTGTCTCTCTAATTTCTCTGCGTAATTGCTGCTCATACGATTTTTAAGAAACAGATATTCGCCGCAGCAAAAATCATGCTCAAGTACATGGACAGGAGCGCTGATCCTTGCGAGGACTTCTATCAGTTTGCCTGCGGCAACTGGGCCAAACACAATCCTATTCCTAAAGACAAAGCTGCCTACGATACCTTCGAAATGATCAGAGAGTCATTGGACTCCGTGTTGAAAGAACTTCTCGAAGATCCTGTACCGAAGGAACCGGAAATCAACACGGACGACGCGACTGTGAAAGCTAAATATTTGTTCCAGAGTTGTATGAATTACGGTAAATTGTTCTCGAATTTATATATCCTTCGTTCCCTTCTGCGATTATAAATTTTAACACGACACGATGTGGCTAGAGATCTTGGAGCAACGCATGGAACGGCCGCTTATACAGCTTCTAGACGAACTAGGCGGATGGCCCATCTTGAGACCCGATTGGGACCCAGAAAAGTTCGATTGGCTTCTCTTGGTCGCGCAATTGAGGCTTTACAACAACGATATTCTTATTTCGGAATGGGTCGCGCCGGATATTAAGAATAGCGATCAATACGTTATACAGGTAAAAGCTTTGAACATTGCAGGATGTTTCAGACGAGGGTACACTTTATTTCACGAAGTAGTAATTATCCACATCCAATAGATTATGAAATTTAAGTTAATCGATATGTTACATGGTCTTGTTTAATAGGATTTTCGTATTGAATCCTTTTATTCGAAAGTTACCTTTACATCAAGACTATATGTATAGTTATTTATAATTCATCGTCGCAAATTAATTAAAATTATCGACTATAGCAAGGTTTATAGATAAAATAGACTTAAGAGAAGTTTAATTACAGTTCGATCAGACATCACTGGGTCTACCTACGAGAGACTACTTTCTCCAGCCATCGAATACGATCTATTTGAAAGCTTATAAGAATTATTTGATAAAGATCTCCACTCTCTTGGGTGCATCCTTGCAGAACGCCACTATAGATGCTGAAGAATTGATAGAATTCGAGACCAAACTCGCCAAGGTATCCAAAATTTAACACCTTCGATTTGACAGTTTCAATTTCTATAATCTTCTTGTTCGTTTCGATTGTTTAACGAAGAGATGATTGACTTCGTCTTTCGCAGATCACGTCCTCCCCTGACGAGAGAAGGAACGTTTCGGAATTGTATCAGAGAATGAGTATCGGAGAACTGAGAACTCTGGTGCCACAGATTAACTGGCATCGGTATTTGACTATCGTTTTAGCTCGACCAACGAACGTTTCCGAACCAGTCGTTGTTTATGCGTTGCAGTATATCCAAGACTTGGTAAATCTACTCTCGAAGACTAGCCCAAGGTGCAATTTTTAGAATGAGATAATATATAAAATAATTAGAAACCAGAAGTTTTGGACGAAGCAAATTTTCTTTGTAGAACTATCGCGAATTATCTTCTATGGCGATTCGTCAGGCACAGAGTGAACAATTTGGACGATAGGTTTCAAGATGCCAAGCAAAAATTTTACTACATTCTCTTTGGAAGGGAACAAGCACCGTCTAGGTGGAAAAATTGCGTGGCACAGGTGAACTCCAACATGGGTATGGCTGTGGGCTCGATGTTCGTAAAAAAGTACTTCGACGAGAAAAGCAAAAATGATGTAGGAATTATTTTTTGACAGTAAATGATAAATATTCGTCAATTGTCAAGATTCTTCTTTCATACAGACTCTGGCTATGACCCGTGAGATACAACGGTCCTTTAGAGAGCTTTTAAATCAAACCACCTGGATCGATGACGAAACGAAAGAATTGGCTACCGAGAAAGTAAATGCGATGCTATTAAGAATCGGCTATCCGGATTTTATTTTACAGTCTGAATTGTTGAACGAACGTTACAAGGATGTAAGAGACGTGAAATTGGCTTCTATTTAGATTAGATAACGTAATGGACGCGCTCGTTATGCAAACATACCCAATTTCTGGTGGACTTTCAGGTCGTGATCCGTCCAGATAAGTACTTCGAGAACACGTTGAATATCTTGCAACATTTGACCAGGGTAGAACAGGATCGGCTTGGCAGCCCTGTTAACAAGACCCTCTGGAACACTGCGCCGGCAGTGGTGAATGCTTACTACAGTCGCAGCAAGAATAGGATAAGTCAGTATATTTCTAACGCAAAGAAAAGAAAAAATCTGTAAATTTTTCCAGAATTTTATACCGTGATACCTTTTTTCTTTTGTACGAGATAAAAGAAAAAAAATTGATTAATCATTTAATTACTTTCCACCTTCAGTGTTTCCAGCTGGCATACTACAGCCGCCCTTTTATCACAGATACTTTCCACGGAGTTTAAATTACGGTGGGATCGGCGTTGTGATCGGTCACGAAATTACCCACGGCTTCGACGATAAAGGTCGGCTGTTCGATAAGGATGGTAATCTACATAGATGGTGGAAAGATGAGGCTATTCATGGCTTTCACGAACGAGCTCAGTGTCTTATCGGTAATCGACGAGACATCGTGCTCCTTAAACCACTCCTAGAACTTTTGTCCACCGGTTTGAAAACTATTTAATATTTCAGACCAGTATAGTCATTATGTCGTGAGCGAAGTTGGAATGCAGATTGATGGAATGAATACGCAGGGCGAAAATATCGCGGACAATGGCGGCATTAAACAAGCTTTTCGAGTAAGCAATTTCTTTCTGGTAACTCATCTTGATCTAGAATTTTTTATATTCTACGCCATAATGACGCAAATATTTTTCCTACATTGTACATCGATTTAACGATTGTAATTATTTTTTATTAAAGCTACTTTATAATAAAGAACGTCTTTCTCTACTTAGGCTTACGAAAGATGGTTGCACGCAAATGGAGACGCTGACGAAACTCTGCCTGGCTTAATCGCGACCGGAAAGCATTTGTTCTTTCTGAACTTCGCCCAAGTGTGGTGCGGATCAATGAGACCGGAAGCTACCAGAAACAAATTGAAAACCGCCGTGCATTCACCCGGCAAGTTTCGCGTGATCGGTACTTTGTCGAATTCAAAGGACTTCGCAGAAGTATTTCATTGTCCTCTAGGTGCACCCATGAACCCAGTTAACAAATGTTCCGTTTGGTGACGAATTACGTGCTTGTTTTCTCACCAAGCCCATCATCACTTCCATTGTCAAACGAGAAATCAGTCAGAGCAGTGTGATTTAAAAATGGAAAGAAAGAAAAGAAAAACAGGAAAGACGAAAAAAGGGAAAAAAGAAACGAATTTGTTGCTCGATTAAATAAAACAAATGATATTACGGTGGAAGTGTAATTGTTGAAACGAATCTTCACGTTTCGAAGAATATTCAGTCAAGTCTTCGTTATTGGACGAAACTATAGTTCCACGCTTTGATGATAGTTGATGCTATAGAGTATGCGATTTGCGTTGAAATTAGAAGAACAAAGAATAGGATAAAGGAACCGACGAACCGGAGGAAAATGGTGAAAATAGTCACTGTTGAGTAATTCTAAGTTATCGTTTAAGGAGTAACGGGCATGCAATCTAATTGACTAAGGGCACAATTCGTACTAACAAAATATGTTGTGTAGTAATAAATAAAAGAATTCTTTTACGCGATATTACGGCTTAGTGGTCCGAGTATCGCGTAACGGAAGTGCCTCGTAGATGTTAAAACAACTGTGCTGTTTAATCGCGTTGTAAGAATGAAGTTGTAAAACAAATACCAAAGACAATAATAATTTCAGACAGTCATAAAAATCTTTACAATCTATTTCCCTGTATATCCACACACTACTACATGTATTGAATTCTTTCGACGTTCTATTTTAGCTTACACTTCCTGTAGATCTTTACCTGATCTCATGGAATAATCTGAGCCTCGTGATCATTCGTCACATCCACGTAATCGTACATACTATGGATATAAACTCGTTCACGTTACATTTCTTTTTTCTCGCAAGAAGTTTTGCGAAAGAAAAAAGGGGATATCATCTCAACACTCATAGTCTGGCATACCGTTTCGCAATATTTCCACGAAACACACACATGAAGAAGTCGTTCATTTTGTCGATCTAGTGAATGCGCCGTTTTCTTTCTTTCCTTCTTTTCCTCGGCATTTCTCTCTTTTTTCTTTCTTTTTTTTTTTACAAATCTCTTAGTCTCACATAATATAATAAATAGTGTAAAAATCGTTGAACATCGCAAATAGGGTATCGACGACATTGTGTACGCGGTCGTAGCCTTAATAAAAAAGTCCGCAAACATTTGTCTCGCAAAGGGATAAAAAATACAAGGAATGAACTATCTGTTTGTAAATGCGATATCGATTGACTATCTTGTCGCCTTGTACTATGGTACTCTAAATGACATTAAAATACTTCAGTCAGAATAGCGTTCGAATGCGTCTCAATGAGTAAACTTTCATTCGATTCTTATTGACTCGTTGAGGTTTACTTCTTTTTCCTTCTTTAATTTCCATAGTGAGGGAAGAAAATCGTGCCTGCACACGACAATGCGGTATCATCACACTTACTCGTATAAACTTGCACACAGAGCCGGGGGAGAAAGTGTTTCACCAATTATACAATCCTATTTTTACAATTTATTTACGTATTGCCTTCCCTTAACGAGTAATTGGTTAAAGTAGTATGGAAAAATAAGATCGTACATACATCGAGTTTTCAATTATTTAGTATAAAGCAAATTCAACGAAGCGTGGTTTTTATCGAAATTAGAACATTAATAATTGCTACTTATATTTTAAGTAGTTATTTGATTATTTGAATTAATATGAACACTCGAATAGAATATTTTCATACGAAGATCAGTGAAAGTGTTCTGTGTTATTTCTAGTTACAAAAGTTTCAATTTTTCTTTCCTTTTAAGCGTAAAATTCAAGTGAAACAATAATACTTACAACAATTGTATAATATGCTTCATACTAATTAATTTTTATAGCATGAATTAACACTTGATTACAGACATATTTGCAGTCATAAGTTGTACTAATAAATCAGGAATTTTGCGAATATCATCTCGTATTACTGACACTTTTTCCTTCTTTACCTCATTCTTTCCTTTTAATCGATACATGCAAAATCTTAGTTTCGGTTTTGCACTTCATAAATTTGATGTTCATATACCCGTATAATCAAAAGTACAGCCATATTATAACATGGTAATTAATACACGTATGTATAACAAAAGAGAACAATACAAAATGGTTTAAAGAAACGAAACTTTAGCACTCTGAGTAAAACATTTTACAATCAGAAAATCCACTTTTTAAATTGATAAATGAGGTAAAAAAAATGAATGTCAAAATGATGTAGAATCATCATCGTTATTTTAAGGTAAGAGAACAAAGCGAGAAAGTAGAACGAGAATATCAGTGATAAAACACATGTATGGAATTAACGAGGATTCTTCTTTTTTCAATCTACATGCACCCTGCGTTAAAAAAGCACGCTTTTGCCATCGTTTCTTTTCTTTTTTTTTTTTTTTTCAAAATTTATATAGATCGCGTTATAGACATTCTCGAGTGATATTAAATACCACATAGAAATTCGATGGCCTTAAACCTATCATCATCTTTTATGTATAGCCATTACAAATTATACGATAGTTTAGATTCTTTATCTTCTATGACGCTTTATCAAAATTCGTCTATTAAATATATATATAAATATATATATATATGTCTCGCGTTTGCTACTTCCGTCCACTTAATTCAAGGTCAAGTGGAAATATATCTTAATTTCCTTTTTTCAACTCCTATTACCACCATTACGTATACGTATTGCATTAACAAGTATCTTCACTTGTGCAGAAACTGGTACTCCAAAATGTCCTCTTCATCTGCAAAATAGAAACGTGTGTCTTATGTTTTAAGTTTCAAGGGTGGTTATCTTTTAGCTGCACTAAAAGGACATACTATAGTTTATCTGGGGATATTTAGACGACGACGTAATGAAAACTGATCGAAATAAAGGAAATGTACGATGTATATAAGTATGAAAAATGACTAGTGTTTGTTTTGTATATATAATTTATGCGAGAGTAATTGCAAACCAGCAACAATACACACGAGACAGGTGTACTACTTCTAAATCGTGATCAGTGCATTCGATACAGATTTTCGATACAGATACTCAAACGATGCTATATTTAATTGAACAAGCATTAGAGTGCAAGATTTTCAAGACCAGTTTGTAGACGTATATCACTGTGTAAATTTGATCATAGAATAATGGATAAATAGTTTTATACATCGATAAAATCTAAAGTATATAGAAATTTGTACGTAACAGAATATAAAGCAAGGAAAAAGTGAACTAAAATGGTAAAAGTTAAGTAAATGGAACTGCTGCGACAGTTGGTATAAGTTAATGATAAATATTAACCAAGTGTAGATAACTGTCTAAAGTTTTAGTTGAAAAGAGAAAGATATACGGAAAGAAAGGAATGAACGGTGAGTCACTCGATGTGACAAAACAAAATACACTCACAGATATTGTCTCTGCTATTGTTGTCCAAATCGCTAGTCTGTGTACGAATTTCCTCGTGCATACGCCGCTCTGCACCAATGGTCAGCGCAGCACAAGGCACAAAAATGACTCGATTACGTCTTTGACATGGTGTAATCCACATGCGCACAACGTAAGTTGCAAAGGGAATTGAGTCGTTTGTTAGACAGAAAGCAGCACGTCCTTTTAGAGCGGCACAATAAATAGAAAATAAAATAAACCAAGTTCGGAGTATGTCTGTGAACCACAAAATTTGTATTTTCCCGTTTATCCTGCACGATACCATTTTTCGTATTTAAGCAACGACAAAGACTCGCTATCTTGTAAATACTAATTTTACGTTTCGCAAACATACTGTACAACCTGTCTGCAACATAAAATATGTATATATTTTACAGAATAATATATAATGATTGGTATCATAATGATATCGATAAACCAGTTTGTGTAAACTACCTTCTTAAATATCGAATTACATATTCATTTGCAGCGAAATGAAAACGTTCATTGAAATTAACGATTAAATGCCAGTGCGCAATTTTCCAATGAAATATTTGCTGTACAATCTATGCATTATGTGCTTATCAAACCGATAAAAAGTTACTTGTGATGTATAATACCGTTATATTATTCTCTACAGGGCCAGTATAAAAAGTGCCTATTCATCGATAGCTATAAGATGCCGAAGAAAAAAGGGGATAAAAAAGTTTAGTCGTTATTTTGGAAAATTGCACGATAAGACAATAAAATTTTCAAACATGGTTGCATGTTATATAAAAAGACATCGATAATATTCTCTATAATATACGTTTTATAAATATTAAGGAAGCAATGTAAATAGCTCGTGTACATATAAAAAGTAGTAAAATCAATAAAAAGAAACCATAAAAATCGTTAAATTGTTTTTTCCAACGTGAAATGTTAGAGAGAAACATTACACCATATTTGAAATAGTCCTTACAGTATTACGACGCCAATGCATTTGTGTGCATCGAATGCAAGTAGTATTTTCTAACGGCATTTTATAAAAAGAACGTTATTTAAATACAACGTGATATGCTAAATAAAAATTTATATAATAATAACGCAACGGCAAGACGCAATTAAATGTAATGAATGTCTGTTGAAATTAAATAAGCTTGTGTGTGTAAGATGCAGAAGATAATTCGTAATAATTCGTAATAATTCATAAGATAAGATGACATCAATGAACATAAATGTAAAGAAATGCATACACCTGGGAAGCTTGTATATATAAATTATATGTCGCAGTTTTTTCCGTATTTTCTAACACTGATAAGATGGCACATTTAATATGAGCATAATTCGATCTATTTACATATTGTCGAACCTGTGATGCAATACCACATAACATAATTGTAAACAATTTTTTGTTCATCACCAAATAACTTGAATTAGTAGGAATACAATAAAAATTTTTGTCCTTTACGCATGGACAATGTAATTTAAATGATTCACCAATAATTGATCAATATACAATAACATTTGTATTGTATATCTTCTTTGTGCATACATATATATGTATATATACTTTTTATCGTTTTTCCTTTTTATAATGCAAATCAATCTTAAAAAATGTATTTGTAAAGCAATAATTAGTGAATCTTTTAACATTTCGAAACAATATCCTCTCGATTTTAAAGAAATAGCTGCCCCATTGTCGTAGACAATCCTAGAACGCAAGCAATGGAAAAATATTAATAAAAATACGTACCTTTTCTTTTTTTAACGTAAATTTATCGACATAAACCGTGTTATTTACATGACCATGCTTGTGCTCTACTTCATGTGCGATCGTGCTTTACATCAACAAGTACACCGTAATATATTTATAGTAAAGCGTGCAATATAGTGTATGTATAATAATAATGAATTATCGATATTAAATACTGAGTTTCTCGTACATAGTAGTTGTACTACTCTCGTTATTGCTATATGTATGCTAAATTTCAACACAGCAATTGCATGTCTCATGCATAAAATTGAAAATGTACTTGTTCTTTTCTTTTTCAGCAAAATACAATAATACAATTTTATTTTTATTTCATATAATCTGACTTAAATAAACGGGTATTTCATGATGGACATAATTACTTTAAAATAAATGTAAATTTTCAAATCCATACTAATCAAATAATAAAAAGAAAGAGAATAACTGAAATATAATCAATAACTACAAGAAGTAATAAAAATAAAACTCTAATAATGATT